GCTCGGGTGTCCTTGTCATTGTACAAGGTTTCTCTTCTTCTCTTGGGATCAAAGTCACATCAATTGATTTTACAAGAGACTATAGGAGAGGGTCTGTCAGCGCAGTGACTGGGAGCCGCCAACCCACTCATACTGAAACCCAATCAAGTTTCAATGAGGAACCGCTGAGGAACAAAATGGCTTCTAGACTCCAGGCTGAGATCTGGACCGAGGAGATCATTTGCCCGGTTTGTCTGGATTTCTTCACGGATCCTGTTAGCCTGGACTGTGGTCACAACTTCTGTCGCTCCTGTGTGACACGGAGCTGCGAAAATCAGGAGAAAAACTGCTGCTCTATTTGTCAGGAGAGTTTTCCAGAAAAGAACCTGAGAGCCAGTTGGGCCTTGGCGAGTCTAGCAGAGAAAGCTCGAAAATTTACCCTGACCCCGACACAAATGGAAAATAAAATTCACTGTGAGAAACACCGAGAGGAAATGAAGCTGTTTTGTGAATCTGACAAGAAATTGCTGTGTGTAGTTTGCAGTCATGGGCAGGAACACAGAGGTCACAGCCTCCTGCCCATTGAGGAAGCTGTTGAAATCTACAAGGTAACAATACCACTCACTAGGGAGAAAATCTGCTCCACCTGATATTTTCACGGTCAAACACGTTAATTCTGTGTTTATTCCAGGATCAAGTGAAATCCTCCTTAGCTTCTCTCACACAGAGGAAGCAAACTGCTCTACAAGCTGAAGCCAAACAGAGAGAAAAGATTTCACAACTGCAGGTGAGATTTCACAACTGATGACTCAGTGTCTCTGGTTACTGTGTGTACACGGTGTGATGTCTCAGTCTCTCTGGTTACTGTGTGTACATGGTGTGATGTCTCAGTGTCCCTGGTTACTGTGTGTACACGGCATGATATCTCAGTGTTTCTGGTTATTGTGTGTACACGGTGTGATGTCTCAGGTGGTTCTGTCTGAGTTAGGCAGGTGGTCTAAATGTAGTTCTTGCAATGTCTGAACCAGATTTGCAGGGAGACAGGAGCTGGAGAGACAGCTGCTTGCCAGACCAACGGTACAGAGCTGGAGTTATCTTTGCTAAAATGCATACCCAGTATGTTACCAGTGGAACTAGACTAGAGGAGCCAGGCCGGATGTGATTGTGATAGGAGGGGAATCATGCAGACCAAGCCGGAGAAGGAGGGAGATCTTCATTTAAAGGCTGCATGAAATTGGAGCAGCACATTTTCATTTCAGGGTCAGTGACGAGGGGTTTGATCTGTCAGTATGTGAGGCTGAGCTGCCTGTGGGGATATACAAAGGGCTTATACAGTACACAGCCTGGAGACACATGATACACGGCATCAGCCCAGGTAAATGTCTCCTATTCTCACCCTGAAGCCGTGTCAACAGATTTGCATTCACATGTATCCCAACACGTACCTCTACTCCCTCACACTCACATATAAACGCAAGCACCCTCACACATACACCATCACACACATTCCCTCACTCACACACCTCACAAGCAAACCTCACACAAACGCCCTCACACACACACTCACACATATATCCCCCTCAGTCACAAACCCTCACATACACAACCCTCTCACACGTACACCATTACTCAGACACACAAGCCTCACACACAACTCACACATGGCCGCTCACACACACACACCCTCACACAAACACTCACACACCCACACCCAACTCTCAAACATACAACACACACACATCTCAAACATAAAACCCTCACACACATATATTGCTCAAACACACACCTTACACACATCACTCACACAAACCTCACACACACGCACCCTCACACACACACCTCTTACACACCCCTGGCGTCCTGTAGCTCAGTGGTTGTAGCACTCACCTTCCAAGAGAGACTCCTGTGTTCAATCCCGGGCAGGGCGAAACATTGGGCAAATTTTCTTGCTCCACATGCCTCATACTATTCCATCCAAAACAAAAGACAATAATACATTTTCTATTTTGAATCCATGATTGTTTGTTGGACATTGCTGTGCGCAAATTCCTGCCGCGTTTCGCCCACAAATGTACAGTCAATTCACTTTACAGTCTATTATTTGAAGCGCTTTCTGATGTCAAGAAGACATGAAAAGCACTATATCGAATGCAAGGATTATTATTACCACTCAAACATACACCACTCACACATACACCCGTCACAAGCTCAACGCTCATATACACAGCACTCACACACACTCCCCTCACAAAGGAGGAGAGAGAAGTCAAGGGAGTTGGAGCTGGAGGGGACGAAGTGGAGTTTCAATTGGCCGACGATGATGAGGGTTTCAGAGCAGAGAGAGGCAAGGAGTGTGGATATGTCAGCTATGAAGATGGGGCAGGATATGGGGGGGCAGTAAATTAGGATTTTTAGAGAGATGTGGGAGGTATGGCAGCGGCTAAGGTGTTGAAAGAGGGGAATGAGAGGTGGAGTAGGGGGACAGGGCAAGTGACGCCGTGGAGATGAAGGCCACCCCAAAACCATGACGGTTGGTGCGGGTGGTAGGTGTAGCGGGTGGTGTGACCTCAGTGAGGGGGAAGATGTCACCTGCGGTGAACCAGGTTTCAATGAGGGTCATAGTGTTCAAATTCTCACCGCTCACACAAACCCTCACGCAGACACTCACACACTCCCTCACACAGATTCTCCCACAGTCCCTCACACAGACCCTCACAAACACCCTCACACAGACCCTCAATTACCCTCACGTACACCGTCACACAGCCCCTGACACACACCATCACAAACGACCAGAAACATACCATCACATACACCCTCACACGAATCATCACCCAACCACTCTCACAGACTCTCAAAGAGACCCACTGACACCCCCTCACACATGCCCTCACAGAAAACCTCACATACACCCTCACACGTAACCTCACACAGAACCTCAAACAACCCCTCACACACACCCTCACACACAACCCCTCACACAATCCTGACACAGAAGATCATACAGACCTTCACATACACAATCTCACACACACTGGCACACACTTATTCAGACTCTCAAGCACCCCCTCACCGACATCTTCACACACAAACCCTCACACACACCCTCACACGGAACGTCATATAGACCCACATATTCACACTCATACACACCCTCACACAGCTCCTCTCTCACACACCCTCAGACACATCTTCACACACACCCCCTCACACACACTCACACACACCTTCACACAAACCCTCACATAGATCACCACACACCCCGTCACACACAACGTCACACATCCACTCACACCCACCCTCACACACATCCTCACACCGACCTTCACACATAAACTCACACAAGCCCTTTCACACCGCTTCACATGCAACCTCTCACAAACCCCCACACTCTCACTCTCACACAAACCCACACAGCCCTCACACACATCCCCACACACAACGTCATACAAACAGTGACTCAGACCCTCACACATCCACTCACACACACCCAAGCGCACAGCCTCACATACAGCTCTCACACACAACCCTCACACACACCCACACAGATCCCTCATGCAACCCTTTTCATACCCCCCGACACTCAGCATCACAAACACCCTCACACTCTCACCCTCACACACCTTCACCCACAGCATCACACACACCCTCACAATATCACCCTCACACAGACCCTCACGCACATCCCACACACTCGTCCAAACACAAAACCTCACACACACCCTCACAGACACCCTCTGACAACCGCTGCCACGCACCCTCACACACATCCTCAATCACACCCCTCAAACATATCCCTCACACAAATCCTAACACACAACTTCGCACACACCCCTCATACAAACACACTGACAAAGATCCTCACTAACCCCTCTCACATAACCTCACAATTTCCTTCACACACACCCTCACACAAACCGCCTCACACACACACATTCACGCAGACCCTCGCACGCACACACATATCCTTGCAAACACACTCACACACCCCCTCACACAGACTGTGACCCTCTGAGCTGGATTGTTTTCCCAGGTGTAGATGTGTTCGCACATAGTCTGAGATCCCAGACGTCCCCTCACTTTGTGTTGTTTCTCTCTATCAGCTCCGGCCTCTCTGACTCTGGATTCTGACACAGCTCATCCATACCTCATCCTGTCTGAGAACCTGAGCAGCGTGAGACTCGGAGACACACGGCAGCAGCTCCCTACCACCCCGAAGAGGTTTGATACCTGTCCCTGTGTCCTGGGGTCTGAGGGCTTCACATCAGGGAGACATTACTGGGAGGCGCAGGTGGCCGACAAAACACAGTGGACTGTGGGATTGGCCAGAGAGTCTGTCAACAGGAAAGGAGATATCACGTACACACCAGAGAACGGATACTGGGTTTTGTGGCTGAGAAACGGGAATAAATATAAAGCTCTGACCTCAATTCCTACCTCCCTGCCTCTGACAGAGAGACCCGGGAAGCTGGGAGTGTTCCTGGACTATGAGGGGGGACAGGTGACATTTTACAACGCTGATAACATGTCTCATCTCCACACTTTCACCCAGACTTTCACTGAGAAACTTTACCCTCTCTTCAGTCCCGGTTTGAATGACGGCGGCAGAAACTGTGACCCTCTGAGGATCTGCCGGGTGACAGATTAATGAGGAGGAGACCCTCAGCCATGACCTGTGTTTGGCTTTGATGGCCACTAGGCTGAACCTTTTATAATCTGTGTCGTTACACAATAATGTTTGTAGTTTATATTACACCTTTCACACTGGGCCCACGGCTCAATCGTTTCTCGGAATCGACAGTGAAGCGTTAGTTGTGTTTGTGATCGAATGTGGTACCAATTTCCACAGAGAAACGGAAGCCACGTTTCACACCATAAACTTCAGGCTACAGCTTTCAGTTCCAGATCTCGACAATAATTATCCTTACATTGCGCACGGCTACTCATCAATCTACCAGACTTCTGAAAATCCTTCCCAGGCATCCTAACTCTGCCTTAATCCCAATCATACACAATCGGTTGGACATTGACTTTGTATTTAAGTAATAATAACCCACTCACTGTTTACAACACGGGAAACGGGATTAAAAGCCCCCCAATCCCCGAGGTTTAAAGTGCAATAGTTTATTAAACCCCAAAGTTTGCGTTAATATCAATGATATAAAAACGGTTTTGCATTTACTTTGGGCATTGATTTTAAACCCAAACCGGTGGATAACACGGGTAACGGGTTAAAAACACTCCACAGATCCGCTGGGTTTAAAGTGCATCAGTGCAAAATATTCCCAATTCTGCATTAATCCCAAATCTATAAACGGCTTTTTGCAGTATGTCTCTCTCTCTCACACTCACACCCTCTCTCGCTCATTCACTCTCTCTGTCAATCAGCCGCTGGAGGCTCCGCTACAACAAGGAGACCAATAGGGGCGGGATTCGGGGTGGGGCTGGTGATGGATTTCAGTCTGTGGATCATATTTGCGATTCAAAGCGAGGTCTTCCCCCTCTTGAAGTGGAGAGGAGTAATTTGGTGTTAAAACCTTTATTATAATAATAATAATCAATGTATTTGACGCATCGCCTGATCCCGCCTTCGAGACGCCTCAAACCTCTTCAGATTCTTTACGGTAAACTGTCTCAGCAACGGGTCATCAAGCTCAGTTTTTAGAGCCCTGGCATCGCAAGCCAGAGACGGGGTTCGATACCCATCTGGGCTTGAAACCTTCAGCAATTTGCCTTCTTACACACAGACGCACACACAGACACACAGACACAATGACACACACACACATGGACACGCACACAGACACATGAAAACAGATCTATACAAAGACAGAAAAAGACAGAAACACACACATAGACAGATAGGCAGACGGACAGATACCCACAGAGACAGACACACACTGCTGTGCTCAATTTGCTGCCCAGTTTGGCCCTCATATTTACAGTTAGTTCACTTTACAGCGTATTCTGTGAAGCCCTTTGAGATGTTCAGAAGACGTGAAAAGTGCTATATCAAATATCAGGATTATTATTATTATTTATTTTTATTATTGTTATTATTTTAGAGAACATTGTGGGCATTTACACAGTACTGGGAGGTGGAGTTGCACTGCGAACAAATTCGGAATCTCTGTCTGTCCAGCGACCGGGGACTTCCTCCCGCCATGAGAGGCGTTCACACCAGAACATGTTGTTGTTGTTGCTGTCGCTCACACTCTCTCTCACACTCTCTATCTCACACTCTCTGTCTCACACTCTCTGTTTCACTCTCTGACATTCTCTCTCTCTGACACACTATCACACTCACACTCTCTCCCTGCCTCTCTTTCTCACACTCTCTCACTCTCCCTCTCCAACACACGCTCTCTTTCACTCTTTCCATTGTGGACGGACAGAGTGAGTGAGAAAGAGAGAGAGACAGTAAAGGAGTGAGTGCCTCTGTGTATTAGTGAAGCGCATTGGCGTCCATCTTTGTAAATGCGGCGTTGCGGGTTGTCAGTTGATGGTGGCCATTTTGGTAAAGGGACCCGGGTTGGGGGGTAGGGATATATGTGTTGGGGGACATCTTGGTAAAGGTATGATAGCAGGGCAGTGACCTTATATGTGTGACGTGGCAGTCTGGCGGCGGCCATCTTGTGAAAGGCGGCGGGTACCGCGCAGTGACGTCATGTGATGACGTAGGGCCTCAGTCGGCGAGCGGCGGGGACGGGCGGGAAACCCGGGTAAACCGAGCGGGAGTCGCGAGCAGCGAGGATGTCGGTGACTAAAGGCGGGCGCGGGAGGCCGCGAACGGGTATCGACGGGACGAGAAATGGTCAAGTCTCCGCCTGGTCACCGGGTGGTCAAGGCCACGGGCCGGTGACCGCGCGTCGGCGGCCAAGAGAGGCCTAGGCTACGAGACAGCATTTCAAAATCCCTCAATAACGTTCGAGTCTCGCGCTGTTCTGCGGTCACTTCCGGGCGCCATTTTGAAAGCTGCTCGGGCCGAGTGAGAAGAGTGACGTCACTTCCTGGCGCCAGATTCAAACCCGCCAGGGTGGGGCAAGTCCCCGCCATTATACTTCTGCTGCCTTGTCCTCCCTCCCCTCCGGCGCTCTGGCACCTCAGCCATGACCGCCATTCCCGCTCTCCTCCTCCCCTCCTTGCGCTGGCTCCGGTTGTGTTAGTTGTGCAGAGTGCGGTTTTGGGTGAAGGGGCGGATAAGGATGCAGAGGGGGAGATGGGGATTTGGGGAGAGACAGACGACGGTCAGACAAACAGCTGGTGTAGTGACTGGCTTTGGGGCTGAACCAGGAGATCATCTCAGAGAGAGACAAGACCAGGAGGTAGTGTGAGGCCGGAGTTCAGCCCCATCATCACCGGGTGTCAAGGCCACGGGATACATTCTTGGCCCCTTCTCTGCTTCAACTGTACGCTCACTCTCGGTGATGTCATCCGCAGACACTGGGTTAACCCCCTCATGTTCCTTCCTTTTCGACTGCGCCTAAAATCACCTTCCCACTTTCCCTCGGCTTGGCCTGGAGTTCCGCCATTGTTAAGCTCTGAGACGCTGCCAGGCGTGGAGGGCGCTAAACAAGAGCAAGTTGTTGTTGTTGTTGAACTGATGGCGGCCATCTTGGTGAAGGTCCCTGTGTGGGAGGGATTGAAGGAGGCGGCGGCCATCTTGGTAATGAGAAGGAGCCATTCAGTGTGTGTGGGAGGCACTGAATGTAAATAAATTTGTATAAAGGGGGGAGTGTGTTCCCTGAGCCACTGAGGCGGGAGGAGGAACCTCTGAACTCCAGATAACCCGGATCTTAATATCGTTTCTCGTTTTCTCTCTCTCACTCTCACTCCGTTTTTCTCTCTCCCTCTACTCCGTTTCTCTCCACTCCTTTCCCTATCGGAGTCCTGTAGTTCAGTGGTTAGGGCACTCGCTTTGCAAGCGAGAGACGTGAGTTCAATTCCAGTCACGGCGAAACCTTGGGCAAATTTCCTTACTCCACATGCGTAATAATAATCCGTCCAAAACCAAAAACAAAAATAAATTGGTCATTTTCAATTTACGACTATTTGTGGGACATTGCTGTGCGCAATTGGCTGCCGGGTTCGCCCAGAAATATACAGTCAATTCACTTAACAGTGTGTTCTCTGCAGCGCTTTGAGACGTCCGCCTGAGGTGAAAAGCCCTACATCAAATGCAAGGATGATTATTATCATTATTATTATTATTATCTCTCTCTCTCCCCTACTCTTTTCTCTCTGTCTCTCTCCGTTTCTCTCTCTCTCCCCTTACTGTCTGTCCCTCTCTCTCTCTCCCTTCCTTTGTCTCTCTCCTCTCCCTCACCTTCTCTCTCTCTCTCTTCTCTCTCTCTCTCACTTTCTCCCGTATTTTTCTTCTCGATAACATGATGTGGCGCTGTACCAAATGCCAGGATTATTATGTATTGCATTAACAGACTGGCACTGAAACAATTGAATCATAGAATCATAGAATTGTACATCACATAAACAGGCCATTCGGCCCATCAAGTTTGTGCCGGCTCTTTGAATAGAGCAATTAATGTCAATCCCACTTCCCAGCCATTTCCCCATAACCCTGCAAACCCGTCCTCCTCAAGTACCCGTCCACCTAATTTTTAAAAGTAGTTTTGGAATCTGCCTCCACCGCCCTTTCACGCAATGCGTTCCAGATTCGACCAATTCGATACCTCCCTCTGCTTCATTTAGAGACTATCTTGAAACTGTGACCTCGAGACAACGACACACCCACCAGCGGAAACGGCATTTCCCTTTCCAATCTATCAAAAATCCCCTCATGATTTTGAAGACATCGATTAGTTCTCCTCGTAACCTTCTCTGCTCCAATGAGAATAATCCCAGCCTCTCTCGCCTTTCCTCATAATGAAGATCCCTCATTATTGGTACCATCCTCGTAAACCTCCTCTGCACCCGTTCCAATGCCTTAACATCTTTTCCATAGTGTGGTGCACAGAACCGGTCGCAGTATTCTAACTGAGGGCTAACCAGTGTTTTTTTATAGGTTCATCATAACCTCCTGACTCTTGTGCACTCTGCCCCTATTTATGAAGCCGAGCATCCCGTTTGCCCTTTTTACTGCCTTATCTCCCTGTCCTGCCAACTTCAAGGATTAATTTACCTGCACCCCCAAGTCTCTCTGTTCTTTTACATCCCTTAAGATGGTATTAACAGCCTATATTGCCTACCATCATTCTTTCTAGCAAAATGCATTACTTCGCATTTTTCCACATTGAAACTCATCTGCCATGTGTCTGCCCAATTTACCATTCTGTCGATGTCTTCCTGCAGTTGGCTGCTGTCCTTCTCACTGTTTACCACCCTACCTAACTTTATGTCGTCCGCAAGCTTGGAAATGGTGCTTTGTACACCCAAGTCCAGATCATTTATGTATATTAAGAAGAGTGATTCTAATACCGATCCCTACACAGTGGACGTCGCTGCACACTGCCTTCCAGTCAGAAAAGCAGCCGTTCACCACAACTCTCTGATTTCTGTCTCCCAGCCAGTTCTGCATCCATGCTGCTACTGTCCCTTTTATACCATGGCTTCTATCTTTCATACAAATCGTTTATGTGGACTTTGTCAAATCCTTTTGAAAGTCCATATAAACTACATCCACTACATCTTTATCGACGCTCTCCGTTAGCTCATCAAAAAATTATATGAGGTTTGTTAGAATATGGTGTCATATCTTAAAATGAGAGTAGGCCATTTAAGAGTGAAATTTGAAAA